GCAGGAATGATAGCACTCAGGTTACAGGGTTGCTATAGCAACACAAGAGCACCTATATAGCTTTGCATGATTAAAACGATTGGGAATGGTAGCTAGTAATGGTATTCTGAAGATACACTTATATCTAGTTAGCAAATGAGGTCATTGTGCTGCAGTGAATGCAGTAGAATGTTCTGGAGTCACATGCCTGAGTTTAAAGTTCAAGCTGTGTGAGCATTGCTTATGCTCTTGTGCCTCTCTGTTTTCATTTTGATATTCCTGAAAAGGAAGGCTCTTCTAGAATTCCTGTCACTTGCCTATCCCTGAACTTACCTGTTTTGTAATGACTAATTTTGGCAAAATCACGTTCTAGACACCATTTGCTGCTGTTTGAACTGTTGGTACTATCTTAGGATATTTGATAAAATTTCTGAGTCCTTCCATGTTTGAGGCAAACATGTCTATGATCATAAGCAGGTAAACGAAGGAAGGGAGCCCTGGGCCGTGAACTGGAGACAGGTGCTCTGTGGATGGATGCTGCTGCCCCTTCCACCTGTACCAGGGGCCATAGGGCCCAGGACTGGTGGTCTTACCAGGACACTGATTTCCTAAAAGAAAGAGGAGGATTTACATTGCTAGGTGAACGAAAACCCTGTACCTCTAGATGCTGCTCTGAAACGATGGCAATCAACCCAACAGATTCCAAAGACAACAGTTTCCAGGTTTGTTTTGCACCACAGGTCTAAAGCAGTTTTCAGAAGTTTCTTTGCTTGTTAAAAATAAAGACAAAAGTAAAACAAAACAAGAAACCAGCAAAATCAAGCAGACAAATGAAAAACTAGAAGAAATGACACCTGTTTCTGTTTTCTCTTTGCAGACTGGTACAGAGGGTACCTCATAAAGCATAAAATGTTACAGGTAAAGTCATATTGTTTTCATTTGGAACAATGTAGGAGGGCTCCACCTGGCTCCGCTGCCCACTCAGGGCAATTCTCTCCTTGTTCCTCAGAAAAGTGAACCTTCTCCTTCCTCCCAGGGCCTGCGCCATCAGTGCTCACCCCTAGTGCCCCTTTGTACGCAGTGCCTCTTCTACCTCCCTTTTCTCTTTAAGGTGGTCTCTGGTGCTCTCTTCTCCAGGCAGCCTTTACTAATATGCCATTATGACTATGCTTTCGCCCTCTCTGGGGTCTCTGGGAAATGGTGAACTTTCCATGTGAAGCCTACTTTGGTTCTTTCCTTCAGCATTGTTTGGGGCATTCACTCAACCTCCTCTGTGACACACAAAGGACAGGCCCAGGTTCTCTTTGAGAGGTTCTAGCTCTGCCATCTCCACTCAAGCTGGTACCTGCTTTGCCATTTCATTTTTCTCCTGGTGTTGACCGCAGTGGCCACATGTCCCCACTGTGCATGCTGGTTCAATTCATGGAGACATTTCTAGGCATCTGATAAACTTCCCTTGCTCCATGAGCTACATTTATTAAGTAAGAAGATAATAGGAGCTCCTTCCTCCCTGACATGTTGTGCTTGGAGGCACAATCCTGTTCTGTCCTGTAGGTTAAATATAGGGAGGAGAAGTCTCACACCTAAGAAACCAGGAACCTGCCTCAGGCCCAGGTACTCCACACCTTCCAATTGTTCCTGTTCTTAAGGGGTGCAGCTTTCCTGGAAGAGGGCAGGAAAGGAAGATGGTGAGCTCTCTCATAAGGCGAGTGGCCTAGAACCTCAAATGCCTTAATTAGTTTCTCTTCTTGCCTATCTGATAGAATAAATGCCCACAAGGAGACTGGAGTGTTCTTTGGGATCTAGGGCCACTGTGGCATCTAGAACAACCAGACCTGAACAAGTGGATTTGGGGTCTATACCTGCCATCTGACCCTGGGATTATTTCTTTGAAGTCTTTGATGGTTTCAAAGGCCAGTAGCTTAATGGAAAAAATCATGAAGATGAGTTAGCTATTTTCCTACAATACACCTCTCATTTTACAGGGCATCTTCCCTACGTCCTTTATCCACATCAAAGAAGTGACAGTGGAGAAAAGAAGGTAATTGGAGGGGGATACTTGGGCGACAGCTCAGTTGGCACAGTGCTTGTCTTCCAAGCATGAGTACCTCAGTTGCGTCCCCTAGAACCCATGTAAAAGAAAGCCAGGTGTGATAGTGCATGATTATAATCCCAGTGCTGACAGGCTGAACCCTCCCAGGCTTGTGGCTACCTTTTACCAGTTGACATTGGCCATCTGAGCTGGCAGATGTTCAGGGCCCCTGCTCATCTGGCTTCTATGTGCCGTTTGTTTGTGTCTTCTCTCTCCATGAGAGAGCTAATCTATACTGATTCTAGCTTGAATTTGCTTCTGAGGGGGGATTAGTCAGGTTGGAGAATCTGACTTTGACTTTTCTCTGGCAGCCACCTTTGGGCCTTATTAAAGTAGATTAGGCTTGAATAGTGAGCATGAGGGGCCTCCGCCATGAAGGAGGATGTTTATAGGGAAGCCCCTTACATTTGTATAATGCAGTCTGTGTGGCTGCTGGAGCTGGTGGAGTCTAAGGTCAGCAAGGTCCCTATGAACGGCTGCAGCTTAATGCAAAATTGACAGCATTTTATCCCTTTTGCACCTAGGTTTCAATTCCACACCAATTTCTCTCCCATCCTAAATAGAAATACAGAGAACATCATTCCAGCAGAAATTCCTCTGGCTCAGGAAGTGACGACGACTCTCTGGGAATGGGGAAGCATCTGGAAGCAGCTCTATGTGGTAAGATACAACCTTCTCCCTTCAGTCTGGCTTAAGTTTGGCACTTAGCCCTGAGTGGGGTTGAGCGACAAAGAAGCGCAGACTTATGCTTGAGGGCATTGAGACCCAGAGAGGTTAAGCACTTTAAGAAAGCCACAAAGCTAGCATGTGAGAGCACCATCATCAGTGGGGTCTGGTGGGGACCTCATGCTTTTAAACAAGTAGAATAGTTGTTGAACTTGGGTTTGTATATGAATTACCTTGGTATCTGCTTACAAAATAAATCCTCTGGCTTAGGAACCTGTCCCTTTAATACACCCCAGGGATTTGATTTGGTTGTCTGCTGATACCTTGAGACATACTCTGGTCATATATTAATTAACTGATGGCTATTGTCCTCAGTTTTGTGAAGAAGCTTTGACCCTGAAAAAAACAAAGAACACATTTCATGTGTTTTCCTTGTTTCAAAGAGAATTTAATTTAAAATCCTCCTTTGAGGCTGCAAAGCTTTTAATGAAAACAATTAGCTGAGCAAACTATTAGGCCAAGAACAAAAATATCAACAAAGGCTTAGTGTAAGTTTGCCAAAGCCCTGTAGCCCTGTGCACACCCACTGGTGTATGATGTGTGTGTGTGTGTGTGTGTGTGTGCATGCACGCACACGCATGCTATTTGTAAATCTACCATTTATGATTCTAAATATTGACACCCACATGGAAATTTCATAATATGAGGCAATTAGAACATCACATTCTGGAAGCATCCCAAAGGTTATCATGAAAATTCAGAGTGCATATTTGTCTGTATTTCATCTCATTATTATAATGAAATACCCTAAGCAGGCTCATTTATAAAGGAAGCCATTCTTGATGGCAGAGTTCCAAAGTGGCTCAGTGCATCAGCATGGCGAGACAGGAAGGTGTACATATGTGTTTATCTGATCTTACTCCCTTTTCTTGGTTCCAATCATGGAGGCTCCATCTTAATGACCTTGTCTCTTCCTAATCATTTTCCCAAAACCTCACTTCTAAAAATCATAGTTGGATTAAGTTTTGACTCAGTACCTCACAATGGGGAAAAATTCCAAGATGTGAGATCTTAGGGAACACTCAAGTCATGTTCATACCACAGCAGGGGACAAACAACATACTTGTGGCTTAAGTGATTTCTTGTTCATTTTCCACTACCCTCTAAACATCCTTACATATGTACCATGGATATCTGACATTTCCTCTTAAGAAATAGCTCAATGGCAAGTCCACCAT